CATAAATAAAATTTAATATCTTAAGAACAGAAACACAGGATCTTCTGAATATGTGGTGCAGAGACATACACCCCAACTCATCACAAGGCCTATCTAAGCAACAGAAAGGATGCTAGGCTAGGTTGTGCCACTTTAAAATACTTTGTTATTGTGTTTCTGTGACGGGGGGGGGGGTATGGTATGTGCATACTGTGGTGCTTATGGGGCTCAAAAGACAACTCTGTGATGTCTCTCGTTACATCTTTTACATGGGCTTTGGGGACTGAATTCAGGCAATCATATGCTTCATATGCACACAAACACCTTTGCTCACTAAGCCATCTCCTTGGCCTAGCCTATAAAATTACATGCAACCTTTTTTCTTTGTTCTTTGGTTGTGTGGTTGAGACAGTACCACACTGTGTATTCTTGCTGGCATGAAACTCACCATTAGACCAGGGTAGCCTGGAACTCAGAGGAATGTGACTCTGCCTCCAGAGCACTGGATTAAAGGGATGATGTTAACAACACTGGGCTGTAAAGAAAAGAATTTACAGGATGAACTTGACACTTTGGTATCCTTAACCAAAAGTGGCCACAAGTAAAACCTGAACTGAGAGGACGGTGTCAAGACACTGGTACCCACTGTCTTGTTATCTTGGTGTCATGAGAAGCTATTACAAGGGTAAAATCTGGAAGATTCAAGGATTCAATCTGTGTTTGTAAAACTATAATGCTATAGAATAAATTGGGAGTTGGAGAGTGTCAAAGGAAATCCAGACACTGGGTAAAATATTAAGACACATCTTACTATACAATTGATATGGGAAAAAGAATCCACTGGGACTGAACTTAGCCTGGAATTGTAGAGGTGACTGACTAAATATAGTAAGGGTATGAGGGCTGAGCAAATTCAGAAACTGAAAATGTGTGAAAATGTGGTTAAAGGAAGATGGGCTTTGTGTCCTCAGACTTGATCTTCCTACCCAGTTTCCTGATGGCTGGGAATTCCAATTTCGTTTGATCCCCAGGACCCATATAGTGGAAAGAGAGAAGAAATTCATACAAGTTGTTATCGGGGATCCACATGGGGACCATGACATGGGCATGTCCCTCCCCATACAAGCTAGTAAACAAATAATTATCATTTTAAAAATTAAAATATATCTACATTTTCATAAACAAAGCCATTCATCCCTCAAACTTAGCAAAGATCCAGCTTCAGTTTCCTTCCCCAATGCTGTCATCAAAGGTGTGCCCCACACTCCTCCACCCCTACCATACAATTCACTTTTTTGATCATCTGTATCATTCAAAGCACCCAATTCCTGAAACAGGAACTCAAGCCCACTGAAATACAGTTCATCAGTAACTATTTCAGGGGTAGTATGGGATTGACCACTTATTAGACCATTGTCTACTTGTATTTGTTTACATCATCATACATAGTAAAAGTGCTCTACCCCTGACCTACATCCCCAGCACCCTGGTTTCCATGCCAGTTACCCTGAAACCAAACCACATAAAGATGCAACAATGAGAATCAAAGGCCTTTTCCTCTTACGAACACAGAATCAAAACTTGTCCACATTCAAAAACCAAATCCAAGAACACATCAGAACAATCATCTACCCATGCTCAAATAGGCTTCATCCAAGACATTCAGGGATGGGTCAAGATGCAAAAATCAAGAAATGTAATCCATAATATAAGCAATCAGAAAGAACGAAAAAAAACTACATTATCACCACATTAGATAGAGAAAAGGCCTTTGACAAAAATCTAACTTCCCAAATAAAATCCCTTCATGATAAAAGTTCTTCAGATAAGGGATACAAGGAATACCTAATGAGAATAAAGCAATTTCCAATAAGCCTATAGCCAAGTTCAAATTAAATGGAAACTCAAAGTTATTCACCTAAAATCAGGAACAAAACGGCCTTTCTACCCTCACCATGTCTATTCAATATAGAACTGGAAGTCTTAGCTAGAGCAATAAAACAACTGAAGGAGATCAAGGGGGCAAAATTGGAAAGGAAGAAATCAAAGTATTTTTATTTGCAGATGATGTGATAGGGTACCTACGTGGCCCTAAAAATTTCATAGAACTCCTATGGCTGAAAAACACTTTGAGCAAAGTAGTTTGGATACATAATTAACTCAAAAAAATCAGTAGCTCTCCTATGTACAAATGATGAAAGAAATAAGAAAGAAAGCAGGAAAATAACACCTTTCAAAATAGCCCAAAATTACATTTAAATTTTCTCACCGTAACTCTAACCTAGTGGCAAAAGACTTATGTGATAAAAACTTCAAGTCTTTGAAGACAGAAACTGAAGAAGATATGAGAAAATAGAAAGAACTCCCACACTCATGGATTGGTAGGACTAACATAATAAAAATGGCAATACTACCAAAAGCAATCTACAGATTCAATGCAGTCCCCATCAATATCCCATAAGGGAACTGCTGAGGTTCATACCATTCCAGACTACATGCTGTACTGCAGAAGTATAGTAAT